CGATTACAAATTCCAATTCTAAGCCACCAGCCGTAACTCAAGCTGTGGCTCGTAAGCCGCAAAACATGACGAACGTCGAATGAACTGTAAAGCGCCATAAAGTTCCGGATAGGCTAGGCAAATGGGCGGTTAGGCACGTGCTAATTGCTTACGCATGGGACAAGCCCAAAAGAGAATTGAAAAAATAAAACAAAAACAATAACAGTTATGATTGAGTGAAGCTTAGAGAGCGTGCAATCAAAGCTATGTGCGGGTGTGTTAAGCATAAAGAAGAGAAGAGAGCACAAATGAATACAGAATGAACACCAGCAGATCCTGTTAGCAAATGAACAATATGAAATGATCGCTTAGAAACTTCAATGCTCTTAAGTTAAGCAAATTCATTTTGTTGATCTTATATTGATGTCAAGATCTGACAGTAGCCCGTAAAGTGAGTTTCAAGTAGTCCAGCACCAGCAGCAGCAGCAGCAGCAGCCCACATTGTATGCGGGTCAAGTGGACAGTTGTGGCCCACTGATCGTGCATTGCCACCAGCCAACAGGTAGTCTATAGATAGGAGCTATTCATTCATGACTTTTCGTTGGCTATTTAAAAAGAGCATCGACTGATCGCCCCCCTTTAACAAACAAAAACTGATTTATAATGCTTGCCATATTGCCTATGGTTCGGGCAATGACGATGTCGAATCATCATGCAAAAGGGGAGAACGCTTCACTGCTTAAATGCTCATTGCCTAACATACACTCACACTCACAGAGACACTGGCAGCTAGACGAATGTGTGTAACGTGAAAGCTCTCACTTTCCTTTGAAACTTGTTATTCGCATTGCAGCTGCCAGCAGAGTTCATTCACATTTGGCAGCCAGACCGAGAGAGCAAAAGCGAGAGAGCGCCGCATTAAGCGCTCTTCATGCAGGTGATAGAACAACACACACAGAGAGCGGGAGAGAGCGAGAGAGAGGCTGAAACGGGCACAGCTGTTCCCGAAAGTTCTTCGTCGCTGCGTGCAAAAAGTAAAGCCCGACTTGCTCTCCTCGTAGTTCATTTGCGGGGGCCGTGAGGCATTGAAATGAGTGCAAATTGTCGCTGCTGAGTGCATTGAACTCGCTCACAGAGCGAACGGCTTGAGTTATGTTTTGGCTTTCTTAATTGCTTTGAATTATTGTTGTTAATTATATAATGCTCCGACTGCAGCTTGAGCATATCACCAAATGCTGGCTGATGCAATTTTCCGGGCCTATCCCAAACCACTCGACTACGTTTTTTCTTTATTCGTGAATTGCATTGCCAAAGATTTCCTTGAACGCATTTTAGCCATATAGTCGCCGTTGCAATGGCCGTTGCTCAAGCCCCCGCTCCCTTCCGCCCCTTTGAGGCCAAGCCCACAAACATGCCGTCGTCCGCCTGAGGTTTCTGTGTCGTTGACCGACCGCCAGCTCAAATGAACTCCAAACCAAAAAGTTAAAGCAATGGCTTGCAAACTGCAGCAGCAGCAGCAGCTGCTGCAGCGGACACCAACAACAACAACAAATTTGCATGCGAATGCACTGAGAGCGAGCGCTGAGCAATTGAGAGCAGCAATGCACGAACGAAGAGTCAATTTGTTCGTTTGCTCGCTTGCTCGTTAGCTCGTTCGGCCATTCGGCAGTTCGGTCGTTCGCTCATTCGTTCGGCGCTGAGCAGCTCCACATTTGGAGGTATTTGACCGAAAAGTGGGTCACGACAATGGCGGGGTTCGTTGAACTGAACTGCCAGTCAGCCAACCTCTGCTGACGTCGTCGTATTATGTTGACGTCGTCGTCGACGTCGCGTCGTTCGGGGCTTTTTGGTTACGTAGCCTTCCAGCATGTGTCGTTGCTATTGTGTGTTGTCTCTTACGTTTTGGTTGGCCTCAAAAAAAATGGAATAAATAACAAAAAAAAAAAAAAAAAAACAAGAAAGAAAGAAAGAGCGCGCCGCCGAAATATTATTTAATATTATTAATAACGAAGCGTTAAATTTAGTAGTTCATGAAATGAGTTGAGCATATTTTTGAGTGCATTTCAGGGCAGTGCTGGAGTGTTAAGTAATCAAGTATTCTTCCAGCCTATAATTGGGGCAAAATTTTTTTTTGTTTTGTGTCACCGTTTGCAGCTAAAGCTATATGATTAATAGCTACGAGTTGGGCAATTGTAATCCCCCCTACACACACACACACTTGGCAGTTTCTGGAAACTTCCCTAAAATTTAGAAAATCTACCCACCCGAAAATAGTTTGAGAGCTGTTCCAAATCTGCGATCCTCTTATGCCTGTCATATTTGTTGATAGCGCTGCTCCCTCCCCCATATCAAAATGCTCCGCCCACTCAATATCAATTAATCTTATTTGTCACTCATGTTTCAAAATAAGCACACAAACACACACATACGTAAATGTTCTAAGCCCCTTTACCTAAGGCAAAGCATCAAACAAACTTCATACTCGTGCGTGTGTTGGCATTGTTGTTGCTGCTGTTATCAAACAAAGCTGATCAGTCAGGTGGCAGTAGCAGAAGCTACCTACAAAATCTGCGTCGCGTAGGTGTTCCAAGAATTGTTTACAATACAAAAAACCAACAAAAAGCGCCCCCACCAACTGCAACAACAACACCAACATTAACAGCAACAGCAGCAGCAGCAGCGCCAGCGCCAGCGGCGTCTATTGTTAGCTGCCCGCGTCGACGTCGACGTTGTCGACAGCGTTGGAGTGAATGTCCTCAGTTAGTGCACAAAAACAAAAACAATATGTAGCGCGAGGTTGGCAGCAGCAGCAGCGCAGCAAGTAAGCGAGAGAGCGAACGAATCGAGAGAGGGAGCTAACGCTTCGTCTCGTGCCGAAGCTTGAGCCGAAGCACCACGGGCAGGCATGAGTTGTTGGCGTTATTGGCGCTGCTTTCATTCGCAAATTGCTCGTCGTTGGCAGCGGTTGTGCAGAGCAAGAAAAGCGCGCGAAACAGAATAAACTAAATATTAAAAGAAAAACTGAAAACTAACTAAAACGGCAAAATAAGAGCAACTAGAACAACGTTACAAATAGTTTTAATAATCATATATCAATCATATTATTATTATTTTTATTGGTGCCAGTGCTGTGAAACAGAATACAAAGAGATCAAGCCAGAGAAAGAGAGAGAGAGAGAGAGAGATCATCAAGACTTCCAAAAAGCGCAATCAAAAGTTTTTGGCGCTCAAATTGTTGGTGAAGTGCATTTGAATGAAAAATCGAGTTTCAAATTGAAATCAAAGCAAACGCAAAAGCAAACGCAAACGCAATGTTCCTTATTAGCAAATTGTAGAGCAAAATCAACAGCAGTCTAGATCGAAGGAGAGAGAGAGAAGTTCAAGTGTCATTGTGGTACCAAAAAGTAAAAAGTTTAAATCTTAACAAAAATGGTTTGTGCAATGGAACAACAGCAGCAACAGCAGCAGCAGCAGCAGCAGCAGCAACAACACCAGCAGCTGCAACAGTTGCCACAGCAGCAGCACAGCACAACAATTGTGCTGCTGACAGCCGGCAACAGCAATGTGCACATTGTCAGTGCACCGCAGCAACATCAACCGCAGCAGCAGCAGCAGCAACAACAAATCAAAAGCCAGCTAAAGCAACAGCACTCAGCGCTGGTCAAGCTGCTGGAATCAGGGCCGCTCAGCAAACAACAACAGCAACAGCAGCCGCAGCCCAGACAAATTGTTTACCTGCAACAACAGCAACAACTGCAACAGCAACGCAAAAGACTGAAAAACGAAGAGCAACAGCAACAACAACAACAAACACCTGCAACACTAGTAAAGACAACCACCAACCAGACAGCAACAGCAACCACAACAAATAGTATTAGTCAGCAGCAGCAGCAAATTGTATTGCTGCTGCAACAGCCAGCTGCAACAGCAACAGCCACAGCAACAGCCACTGTGACAGCAGCAACACCAAAGCTATGCGCCGATCTCAGCGCCAAAAATGACAGCGAATCGGGCATCGATGAGGACTGTGCGAACAGCGACGATGAATTGCCGCCCAAGGCCAATATTGCTAACAACCCCACGGCAACTGTTGCCGCCGTCGACTATGAGCAATATCAATGCCCCTGGAAGAAAATACGCTATGCGCGGGAACTGAAGCAGCGAGAATTGGAGCAGACTACATTGGCTGCAGCCACAACGGCAACTGCAACTGCAGCAACAACAGCAACATCAGCAGCAGCAGCAGCAGCAACAACAGCAACAAGACCCACCAGCAACAAGCTCAATCAACTGCATTGTGATAGTCCTTTTTCCGCGCAAACACACAAAGAAATTGCCAATTTGTTGATGCAGCAAACTCATCAGCAGCAACAACAACAACAGCAACATCAGCAACAACAGCAGCAGCAGCAACAACAACAACAATTGTTGCAGCAACAGCAACAGCGACGCGACAGCTCCGACAGCAACTGCTCGCTGCTGAGCAACTCGAGCACCCAGTCGCTGACAAATGGCATTGGCAATTGTTGCACATGCAACAGCAGCAGCGACGAGGATCTGCAGCAACACAAACAGGTGATCGAAGATATGGATGCCCAGGATTCGGGCTGCGATGATGAGCTGTGCGAGCAGCATCATCAGCGCCTGGAAGCGTCGCAGCTCAACTACTTGTGTCAAAAGTTTGACGAGAAGCTGGACACAGCTTTGAGCAACAGCAACAGCAACACAGCAGCAGCCAAAGCGACGCCAGCAATTGAGGAAGCCAGCGCTGATGTAGGTGGCACATGAGTCTAATTAGATATAGATTTTAACTAAAATAAAAGATTTAGATATGGAATATAGATAAAACATGAGTTTTCAATGCCGCATACCCTGTAAAAATATAATTTATACATATATCTTATAATCTTATGCATTTCTATATGATCTAATAAGATTTAAAAACTCACTTTTAAACTTATTTAATTTTAATTTGTCTAAAAATATTATTAATTATAAATTTTTAATTAATTTAATTACAGGGCTTCTTCCGTCGCTCCATTCAGCAAAAGATCCAATATCGCCCATGCACCAAGAATCAGCAGTGCAGCATTTTGCGTATCAATCGCAATCGTTGTCAATATTGTCGCCTGAAAAAATGCATTGCCGTTGGCATGAGTCGTGATGGTGAGTACCGCTTACACTACTCTAATCCTAAATCCCTCACTCACTCACTCACTCGCACGCACACAGTTGAGCTGCAGAGAGTCAAGCTCAAATACAATAAAAATAAAAGCAACAACAATCATTAAGCTAAAAACCGAAACACACAACGAAACTTAACGAACGACAGCCGACGACTATCATTGAGTTCATTGACCAGCCATGAACGAAATTTCAGCTGGTTAGCTGGCTGGGTGTGTGTATGTATGTATGTGTGTATGTATGTGAATGTGTATGTGCGTATGTATTGCAACATTTGTATAGCGCGCGCGATTTCACGGCAAAGTAAAAGTTGTTAGCTGCCTGCCCTGAAAAAAGCAACTAACACACTCGCATACAAAGGCAAACTACATTTATGTAAATTTTGTTTAAACAAATTTCCAACACCCGCATGATAAATGGGAGCAACAGCGGCAACAGCAACAACAGCAACTGTGCGCCATTTCGAAATTGTGTTAAAAGTTGAATGAACGCACTTAACCTAAATTCATAAAGGCAGCGAGGCCATGCCTACGCATGCCTCTCTCGCTCCCTCTTTCTCCCAATCAGGCAATCTTTCTCTTCCACTCTTTCACAATTCCTCATGCTGTGTTACGCTTGCGAGCATTTGCTTTTATTAAATTTTGTAATAATTTGTTTAAATTAAGAGCAAGCCCGGAAAAATTGTACAGGAAATGCCTCGACGTTCATATCGATTATGAAAGCATATATAAAAAAAAAAACAAAATAAAATACAAAACAAGAAGCAGCAACAACAACAACAACAACAACTCACACTCGCGAGCAACGTTCATTGACTCTTGGGCTCTTCTTCTTGCTAACATGGCGGCCATGTTGCTGTCGAAAACGAAAGTGGTTCATGCTGCTGCGTGCGCCTGTTGGATAGAAAGAGAAAGAGAGAGAGAGCTGTTAAGTCGTCGCTGTTTTGTAGGCAGCACGCAGTCGCAGCCTGTGCTTAATAATGTTGTAGTAGCTGTTGTTGTTGTTGTAATGCTACTTGAACATGTGTATGCTGTAATTGATGGATTACAGTTTGTTTTCTTTTCGTTTCATTTCTTTTTGTAATGGGACGCGTGCTGGGCAACTGAAATAAACGAAAGTTACATAATGTTAGATAAACATAGAAGACGCAGAAGAAACCCATTTTGAAATTAAATATATATATTAATATGTATATTAGCAAATCAGTGACTTGACTAACCAAGCATTGGCTAAATTACTATTTAGAAATTGGCAAATCCTTGAACTAGTTCTACACGGCACTAATGCCAAAAATCTCAATAAAAAACTAAAAAAAGCTAAAATACGACCGCCATCAAAATAAACAGCAGCGAACTCAAACTCGGCAACAGCAACGAAAAAAATTCGAATTGTTTATAATAAAAATGACCGTGTGCTATTTAAGCGCAGTCGACGTTGACGCTGGCGTTGCCGTCGACAGCGCTGCCCTCGCTTGCCTTATCTTTCAAGGAAAATTAAATTTGTACACTGACACACACATGGACACACACTCACACACAGAGAGTCATGTTTGTGGGCTGTTGTCGAAATATTTACAGTTACTTTTGTTAAAACACGCACTGACCTAGAAATTGATCATATTATTATTATTATATTTCTCGCATCTCCACTATGCAGAGTGCATAATATGCAAGACTTTCACTTGGCCATTTGACCATTTCGAAACACTTTCTTTTACGGCTTTCATAATTTCTTTTTCGTGTGTAGTAATATTATTAGGCGCCATTTTGTTTATGTTTGCCTATTGCAAAGATACGAAAATAAACGCAAGACGCGCCGTCAAAATGAAAACGAAACCGAAATTTAGCGCACACACACACAACCGACACACACACAGACAGACAGACACTCTCCCGTGGATAGAGCGCCCCCCAAAAAAATAAAGAAAAAAAGCAACAAACAAACACGAACCAGGCGACAGCCGCAGCCCGCGAGCTCCCTCTCTCACTCTCGCTCTCTCTCCCCCACAAAACATTCAGCCTCGACAGCAGCGCTCAGTTCATTGACCGACGAAACTAGGTCACCCAAAGCAGCGACACAGCAGCAGCTGAGCAGCAACAGTGAAGGTGCTTGAGTGTATGTGTACGTACGTGTTTGTGTGCAAGTACGCTTGATAGTAAACACGCTTTTTTACTCATTTTATGCGTTCATTTTGCATTTGCTTTTTTTGAATTGTTTAAATTTATAGTTGTCGCGGAAAAGGCATAGACATACATATGCATGTATTTGCAGCTATTTATTTTATTTTACTTTTTTTAACACTTTATTTTATTAGTTTTCATGTGAAGTACACATGTGGCATGTGGCGTTTAATTAAAATGAACTCAAATCAGCGCGAGGCTAATCGAATTGAAAGGCTCAAGATTCAGCATAAGAGAGCTATGATACAGTTATGATTATGCTGAATGTTCCTCTCTTCAACTAGAATGAGTTAAAGTCGAACATGTGAATATGCATATGCATATGCATATGTATGCCTGTATGTGTGTATGTACATATGTTTGTATGTGAATTCAGACAACAGCAAATGGCTGTCAATTATCTTTGTAGTTGCGCACACAAAAACTAATCAGACAATTGTCAATTATCGAAGGCACAATTTTATTTATTTTAGATTTTTTTGTTTTTTTATAGTTACATATGAGCGAATGCATGTGTGTATGTGTGTGTGAGCGCATGTACGAGCAGTGACGTTTTTGTTGTTGTCGCAATCATTATTTTTTGAGGCTACACACACACACACACATGGACACACATGAACACACATACAGTTTGCATGTAGATTTCGCCTTGCCGTCATCGTTGTTGCCGCGGCGAGTGTTTTGAACTTTATTCAGGTCAATTACAAATACATTAAAATGCCAGTGCTACACACATACACAGGCGAGGTGTTGACTAAAATAATATTGGAGGCTACTACACAAAATGAACAATATGACAATAAAAATGTTTGCCCCAGGGGGAATTGCAAATGGATTGAATTGAAGTTTGGGTTCCGTAGCACTGAGCTGCTGTGCGGTAGCTCTGGCATTGCTGAATTGTGGGCGTGAACGCTGGGCGTGGGTCAAAGCTTCAAGTACAACTAGCTCATGATGATAATGAAGCCGATAGTAATGACGTTTGGCGACTGCAACAAATGAAAATAAATAAATATGTGGGCGAGCCTCGTGCTCAATGCAATGCAATGCAATGCGAATTCGCTGTGGGTTTCTAAGGTGTGAGCTCTGGCTGGAAGGTTAGCCAAACGTTGCGCTATTGAAAACTTAATGCATAACAGATCGCACTTGCTTATTATACAATTTACTTTACTTTTGTTTCTTGTCATCAGTGAAATCATTTTTTTACTCGTGACACGCATCATCAACAGCACAAAAATGAACTGCGACAAGTTTTCGCTCTCCATCTCCCTCACTCTTCCTCGCTGTCTGTCGTTACATAAAACTGTGCGCTTCACCTGCCTTACAAATGGTAATTGTTGTTGCTTTTTGTTTGGCTTAACGGTGAAATTGCAAAGGAAAGAGCGCAAAACAAAGCCGTCAAAAGCAGCGACAGCACAAAACGTAACAAACTTGTTTTACCCCATGCTGCGCTGACGTCGACAGCGACGTCGGCGTCGCCTACTACGCAAGTTGAACCTTCAAAAGGTTCATTTACCTCGCGTACAAACGAACGTCCAACGAGCGACAAACACGAACAGCAGCCACAAATACGAACAAGTCGAGCGCCATACACACACAGACACACACACACATACATGAGCGACGGGCAGCAGAAAAATGTACTTTCGCTTTTTCAATGCCTCGACGTCAAACTAGTTTCAAGCTTCAAGTGGAGCCGAGCCACAGCCAACATTGCTGCAATGGCTGTGTGATGTCGACGACGCCGGCGTCGCTGCCGTTTTGGGGCACAGTTAAACGACCGACACATGGCGAGTTCAACGACTCTTGTAAAATTTCTCGAAGGTTTCGCATTGCAACATCAGCGTCGCAACTTGTTCGACTGCAGCGCAGCAAGACTGCATTTGCATAGGCTCTGCCACTCTCAGCTGGCTCTGCACTCGTTTGCTCTCTTGCTATCTTCCTCTCTCATGCTCTCTCATGCATGTGTGTGTGTGTGTGAGTGCGCTGAATGCTGTTCATTGCACTCGGCCTCATTTTGAGTGCGCGCTGCGCTTTTTTTCTTGCCTGCAATTTTTGTTTTTGCGCGACTGAGCGAATGAGTGAGTGAGTGCATGTGTGAGTGTGCGTGTGTGTGTTTGTGTGAGTGAGCGTGCTAGCAGGCATTTGTCGCCTTTGTTGGCGAGTGCAGCGACTTTTATTTGGGTCAGGCACGGTCATTCGCCTCAGTCGCATCGCAGCGTTCGCATTGCAATTGCAATTGCAATTGGCAGTTGCCTTGGCGCGCATTTATTTGAAAATAATTATGAATGCAAAAACAAAACGAGAATCAAACAGAATTCGATTCCCTTGATGCGCATGCAAATAAAGGATTTACTAGATCTTCAATATTGATGCCAAACACAGAGGCGCAATACGTAGCCGAAGCGTAGTACGAAAATCACTTGCTTTGTTTGACTTATTTCAGTGTATACATACAGACATGTGTATGTGTGTGTGTCATTTATTTATGCGCCTGACCTTTTTATAATTAATATTTGTTATATGGCACAGGGTCTCCCCATTGAACGTTATGTGTTATTGAGCGTCGCCTTCGCTGTCAGCGAGTGACCTCCTCGCGGCATCTTGCAGTCGCCTGACCCACAAAATTAACTAAAAAACATATATAAAATATATGTATATAAATATATGTTATATATAGATATTTCACTGATCTTTGCTTTCTTTGTCGCTGGAAGTTTCTGGAAAAAAATGTTTTGGTTTTATTACATTTCTATCTTCCTCTCTCTTTCCCTCTCTTTCTCCGCATTTTGTAAACAACTTACG